CCCTTGGCTGGCCCGGTCCAATGGGCCCCTATCATTGCTATTGGGTTATCATTGCTTTTAGGCCTTTTTAGGCCAATCCTCATGCCAAATCTTTTACCATAATTTCTTGTCTGATACTTGTTATGTAGTTTATTCCTAGGGGCATTTCCTGGGACAATAATTTTTTAGTTCTGTGTGTTCATAATTGTTTATGTTTTTTTAGCCTTGAAGGTTAGTTTGGCAGGATAGAACATCCTTAGCTCACATTTTATTTCCTTGGATATTTAAATATATAATTCTATTGTCTATTATGTGTGCCACTGTCTGTCATAAGTCTTAATTTTTTCCCCATTATAAGTAATTTGAACGTCTTGCACGATGCTTGATGAGTTCCTCCCACCTCCCTTTAAAATTCAGTAGATTTATTAGGCTGTGTCTTGGTGTTGAGCTTCTGAGTTGTTTACTAAAATACATGGTATACCATTTGAACATGCAGATTTAGGCTTTTTTATTTCTAGAAATTTTTCTTGAATTATAGTGGCTAGTATTTGTTTTAATTTATAGCTTTGGGGAAGCAGTCTATAATATGTATTTTATATTTACTTTGCCTTTTATTTATCACTTTTAATTGTTTAAAAAAATTATTTTTTTCATTTTTTCCCCTTTTCTACCTATTGTATGATATCGTCTCTCATGTCTTTTCTAGCTGAGTTGTCATTTCTTTTTCTTTCATTGTTTTTTTAATCTTTTTCTCTGTTCACTCAGGTTTCCTTTTATGTCTTCCTGTTGCCTAGTGCTCTTATTTAATTTTCTAATTATGATTTATGTTGTCTTAAAGCTTCTTTTTTATATTTAATTTGTTCTGTATTCTTAGGTCACAGTTCTCATCTCCTTTAGGCCATGTTTTTCTGCTGTTTCTTCATTTTCCATAGGTGGGCTATTCGTGTTGTCATTCTCTTTTCTTTACAATATCATTATATTGGGTTTGATAAATAACCTTTTCCTATGGTTCATATTTATTTCCTATGCATTTTAAGGGCATTATGTAACATTAAAATTTAATTAGCGCTGATGATGATAAGCTATGACTTACAACCTATCTATCTATATATAAAAGGCAAATATGCTAGTGTGTCTCTGACCATCTGACTGATCACTATGAGGCACACTGACCACTAGGGGGCAGACACTCGATGCATGAGCTGCCGTGACGCGCACTGGCCACTTACAAAGAAATGGCACCGTGGACCTGGCACTGACCAAGCAACACTCAGCTTCCCCCAAGTGGGACACAGGCTCCACCCCGAAGCGACAGCCAACACTGCTGAGACCCCATGGTGCAAAATGTGATCCATAGCCCAGCCCAGAAACAGTCATTGTGGGCGATGGGTAATGACATCATGTAGCAATGCCCAGCTTCCTCTCCCTAGTGACTAGCCTCCTTGGAGTTTCTTTAGCCCAAGAACATGACTTGCTTTATAACCAGGTGCAAACATTTTACACTTTAAGCAAGTGTCTGTGAAGCATTTTCCTGTGCCTCAAATCATTTGATACTCACAGAAGTCCTGGAATAGGTAGATAGGAGACTCAGTAGAATCCTATTTTCATTAGCCAGAAAAGGGAGATTTAGAAAGTTTCAAAATTTGATCCGACTGAAAAGAAAGAAATGGTGGACCTTGAAAATGATTTCATGTTTTCTCACTGTGCAGAGTATAGTCAAACACTGCTACAGTTAAATATTTCATCCTTTGTTCTCCCTGCGTGATCTACAATAACAATCTGCTCCGTGTTGATATTTACTGCTGTGTTGCTGACAATTACCTGAAGGAGAAGTTGGGGTGCTTCACTGGGCTGGAAAAAGTCTAATTAAGGAGGTCTAATTAAGCAAGTTTATCTATATATATATATATAAAACTCTCGCTGGTGCCAATTGCATACTTGTATTTCTATCTGTCATCGTCGATCGTGAATTTGTTTGACATTTCTGTAATAGAGAAAGGGCAAATAGCAATATTAAAATATTTCTTCTAATTAATGTCCTTTCAATGTGCATGATTTTGTGTACTGGGTCTCTAGTTTAGTTATAAGCTGTTGTAAAATAGTTACTGTACTTTATCTTTTTCTTTAGCAATATGTTTTTTCTAATTTCATAAATCTTTATTATTCAGATTATTACAATTGTTTCTCTTTTCCTCCACCCCAAGTTCCCCTTCACCCAGCTCCCACTCCACCCTCTGCCCTTACCTCTCCCACACTGTCCTCATCCATAGGTGTATGATTTTTGTCCAGTCTCTTCCCACACCTCCCTGAGAATTATGAATCCCCTCCCGTTCTATGCACCTGATTCTATTATATTCACTAGTTTATTCTGTTCCTCAGATTTTTAATTCACTTGAATTTTAAATTCACTTGTTGATAGATATGTATTTGTTGTTCATAATTTTTATCTTTACCTTTTGCTTTTTCTTTCTCTTCTTAAAGAATACCTTTTAGCATTTCATATAATACTGGTTTGGTGGTGATGAACTCCTTTAGCTTTTACTAATCTGTGAAGCTTTTTATCTGACCTTCAATTCTGAATGATAGCTTTTATGGGTAGAGTAATCTTGGTTGTAGGTTCTTGCTATTCATCACTTTGAGTATTTCTTGCCACTTTCTCTGGTCTGCATAGTTTCTGTTGAGAAGTCAGCTGACAATCGTATGGATGCTCCCTTGTAGGTAATTAACTGTTCTTCTGTTGCTGTGTTTAATATTCTCTCTTTGTCTTTTGCTCTTGGCATTTTAATTATGAAGTGTCTTAGTGTTCCTTTTGTTTGGGGTTGTTTGGGGTTCTGTGCGCTTCCTGGACTTGTAAGTCTATTTCTTTCACCAGGTCGGGGAAGTTTTCTGTCATTATTTCTTCAAATATGTTTTCAGTATCTTGCTCTCTCTCTTCTTCTGGCACCCCCATAATTCTGATGTTGGTATGCTTGAAGTTGTCCCAGAGCTTCTTACATCATTTTCAACTTTTTGGATTCTTTTTTTCTTTTTCTTTTCCAGTTGAGTGTTTTTTGCTTCTTTGTATTTCAAATCTTTGACTTGATTCTTCTGATTCTCTAGTCTGCTCTTGGGTCTCTGTATAATATTTTTTATTTCAGTCAATGTATGTTTAATTTCTATTATAGTTGGTCCTTTTTCATATCGTCAAGGGTATTTTTAAATTTATCAGCCTTTTCTAGGAAAATCTTGAAACACCTTTTAACTGTGGTTTTGAACTCTATATCCAGTCATTTGTCTTCATCCATTTCTTTAGTTGGTGATTTGTTTCCTTGTCTCCTCATTTTTGCTGTTTCCTTGAGTTGGTAGGGTGCCCTTGTGTGCTAAGTGTCCAATGGGTCAGCCTCCCAGATACCTGAGGTGGACCCTCTTAGTGCAACCCCTGTGGACTGTGTACACAGTCTTGTATTTAAGTCTTGATTGTTGTTGGTGTCACTGGGACGAATTAACCTCCAGGCCAATTGGCTGTGAGGACCCGCTGTTTCTATAATGGAAGAACTGCTGTGCTGGAGACAAGCTTCTTGGGCAGGATTTGTTTCAGTGGGGCTTTGGTGCTCATTGAGTCTTTCTCTTGAATGTGTCCCTTTTGAGAGTAGTTGAAATCTGGTGTTGTCTCACACAGACCACTAGATATACTAGCTTCTGAATTTCCATTGGAGTGCAGGTCAGCTACTGTCTGAGGCCACCCAGCAGGAGCTACAGCAGGAACTACGGTTTTCTCCTCTTTGCCCGGGTTTTGGAGGTTTTGGAGCTGTCTGTCTGGAGTTGCAGTTTGTTTGGTTAAGCTGCGACAGGGCAGGCCATTTATATGCAAAAGTCGCTGCGTGAAGCTTGGGTGTGTTTGTAGATTGTGTGGGGCAGAGTCTCAGGGAGTCACTAGGCTAGGGCATGGCAAACAGTGGTGGCTACCAGTCAGCCTTCTCTGCATTTTCGAGTTTCCAAGTCCCCACATCCCACACCGCAGTAAACAATGATTGCTGGGTGCACCTCTGCAAGAAAGTCACCTTCACTTTCCAATCCGATATCCGACAGTCCAGTTTCTCCCCAGAAACTGGAGTTCAGAGTAATTGGGAGCTTGTCTCCCTTCAGGTTAAAAAAAGCAGCACATCCAATCGCCTGCCTCCAGCCTGATTTGCTCACCTCTGTACCTCAGCTTTTCAGCACTTGTGCACATCTCAATGCTCTTTCCTTCTAGTTGTAGAACTTCCACTCAGCCAGTGGAACTTCCACTCAACCATTTCCCATGGTTCTGGATGATAGACGTTTTATCTTTTAAAAAAAATATATTTTATTGATTTTTCACAGAAAAGAAGGGAGAGGGATAGATAGCTAGAAACGTCGATGAGAGAGAAGCATTGACCAGCTGCCTCCTGCACATCCCCTACCGGGGATGTGCCCGCAACCAATGTACATGCCCTCGATCGGAATCGAACCTGGGACCCTTCAGTCCGCAGACTGTCGCTCTATCCACTGAGCCAAACGGGTTTTGGTGATAGACGTTTTATCTTTTAGTTGTAGTTTTGAAATTGTTGTGCAAGGCAGTAGTTTAGGTGTTTACCTATGTCGCCATCTTGGTTTCTCCCCCTTCTTTAGCAATATATTGCTTAGGATAGTGGTCTGTCTGGGTCAACTGCTATTGATACCATGCTTTCTCTATAATCTTGCAATTTCAGCTATTTGAAAGTTATATCTCTGTGTTGTAGTGTAATGTTTTTGTAGTGTCCTGCTATTTCACTGGTATCTGTAATGGAAAAATAAGTAGCTTTTAAAAATATGCACTGAACAGATTTTGGAACTGAGTTTGTGGGTTCTCCCCCTTTCCAACAAACAACAGAATTAATGTATAGCATTAGTAGTGCTACTTGGTGCTGAAAGGTTTGTGTTAGCTACCCTTGATATGCTATTTCTTTTGTTTTAGGTTAAATGGAAACCACCCTTGAAAGCTGGATGCCTGTGTAGCCTTTCTATCATATCATTGAATTGCAATGAGTGGAGGAGGAGAGCAGCCAGATATCCTCAGTGTTGGAATCCTGGTCAAAGAAAGATGGAAAGTGGTGAGTATACATCTGAGGGGGGCTGGAGAGAGAGAGTTAGATTGATTGTCTTGGGGGCAATTTGGCTATCTTGATAAAAAATAGCATTTTTATTATAGAATAATACATATATATTGCTTGCTAAACCAGTTATTTTCCGGTGTTTGTTTGTTTTGGTTGTTTTTTTTGCTCAATACCTTTACCTTTTTCACTCGGCCTCAAACTCTCCTCCCCTCTGACAGCTGTCAGTCCGTTCCATGTATCCATGCCTCTGTTTCTATTTTGTGAGTTGATTTTGTTCATTAGATTATACATATGAGTGAAATCATATGGTATTTGTCTTTCTTTGGCTGCCTTTTTTCACTTAGCATAATGCTCTCCAGGTTCATCCATGCTGAAATAAAGGGTAAGACTTCCTTCCTTTTTTATGAGCAAATAATATTTCATTGTATAAATGTTCTACAGCTGTTTTATTCACTCATCTGCTGATAGATACTTGGACTGCTTCCAAATCTTGGCTGTTGTAAATAATGCTTCAGTGAACATAATGGTGCATATATTCTTTTAACTTAGTGTGCTGGGTTTCTTCAGATATATGCCCGGAACTGGAATTGCTGTGTCATAAGGCAATTCCATTTTTAAATTTTGAGGTAACTCCATATTGCTTTTCTTAGTGACTACACCAATCTGCATTCCCACCAATAGTACATGATTTCCCTTTCTCCACATTCTTACCAACACTTGTTGATTTATTGGTGATAGCCATTCTGATAGGTGTGATGGGCATATCTCATTGTGGATTTTATTTGCATTTCTCTGATGATTAGTGATATTGAGCATGTTTTCATTTGTCTATTGGTCCTCTTTGGAGAAGTGTTTATTCAGGTCCTTTTCTCATTTATTAATTGGATTATTTTTTTTTTCTTTGTGCGTGTGCGTGTGCGTGTGCGTGTGCGTGTGTGTGTTCAGTTGTATGAGTTTCTTGGGTATTTTGGATAGTAACCCCTTATCAGATGTATCATTGTCAAATATGTTCTCCCAATCAGTGGGATCTTTTCATTTTGTTGAAGATTTTCTTTGCTGTGCAAAATTTTTTTGGTTTGATGGAGTCTCATTTATTTGTTGTTTTTTTTTCCTTGCCCAGGACAATATATCAGAAAAAGTTTTTTTTAGCCGAAACCGGTTTGGCTCAATGGATAGAGCGTCGGCTTGGGGACTGAAGGGACCCGGGTTTGATTCCGGTCAAGGGCATGTACCTTGGTTGCAGGCATATTCCCAGTAGGGGGTGTGCAAGAGGCAGCTGATCGATAACTCTCTCATCGATGTTTTTAGCTCTCTATGGATGTTGTGGATGTCTTTAGAAAACAAAATCTGTCATAGGCCTTACCTTTATTCTTTCTCTAATCTGCATTACTCCATTAGAGTAAACTCTCTGTCTCTCTACCTCATGAGCACTGATGTCTTAGGGCTTTGTCAAGTTCAATAAAAAGTTAATGCTCTACTGTTACTCAGATGACATTATAAGAATAGACTAAGAGCAAAATTATTTACTTCAGCCTAGATTTTTTTTTTTGTTCTGTCATTTGGTAAGGTTTTTTGTGAAGAAAAACATGAAGCCATCTCTCATCACAGTCCATAATTAGAAAGATGTTCTCATTACTTTTAATGAGCTTTTTAAGTTACACTAGGCTTTTTTTAATGAATATTATATATATATATATATATATATATATATATATATATATATATATACACTCACAAGTACCAATCAGGACACAACAAAGAGGAATTTACTTAACCAAAATTAAGTTCTGGGACTTCTTTTTAATTCTAAACTCATACCTGAGTTCCTCCTGGTATCTCTTCCCATCATTACCAAACCAAAATAAAGAAGGATTATGGTTTATATATACAAAGCAATTAATGGTTACTTAGCAATGCAGGGTGAGACAGAAGGAGGTTTATAAATGTGAGTACACAAAACACAAAGTTTATTCTTACATTATTATTTATAAATATCTTTTTCATATGAACAACTGTAAACCTACTTTTGCCTTACCCTGTATATATAGTTATCACTTTTGTTTTGCTCGGGGAAAACAAAAAATAATCGAGTGGACTTCTCTTTGAAGAAGCTTACTTTCACTATAGAGGGCCAGGACACTAACAGTGGTAAGTTGGAAAGGTAATCAACATAAAAGATAAAATGCAGAATGGTGTTAATATAAGTGCTGTCTTAGGTATTAAGCCTAGTAAAATGATTAAGTGATTAAGCAAATAATTCCTGTAGAAATTCAGAAGATAAAGAAATCAGCCTAGCTGAAACCGGTTTGGCTCAATGGATAGAGCGTCGGCCTGCGGACTGAAAGGTCCCAGGTTCGATTCCGGTCAAGGGCATGTACCTGGGTTGCGGGCACATCCCCAGTAGGGGGTGTGCAAGAGGCAGCTGATCGATGATTCTCTTTCATCGATGTTTCTAACTCTCTATCCTTCTCTCTCCCTCTCTGTAAAAAATCAATAAAATATATATATATTTTAATTTAAAAAAAAGAAAGAAATCAGCCTAGATACAGTAATCAGTATTGACCCATCAGTTGAGGTGAGTCCTCTGAGATGGTGAGGATTCAGGACTCTGTGCCTCCAATGATGACTTTCTACATTATAGTACATTCTAGATAGCTGATAATATGGTAAAGAGAAGACCTAGTTTCAGGAAGGCTAATTACATGTTGTTTCTAGCTTAAAGAAATAACATGAACTCCAGTTTAAAACAGGAGTTTTCTGTGTGCTCTTTGAAGCCTGTTCAGTGCCTCGGAAAGGAGGGTAAATGCTGCAGAGAGGACTTGGCTCTGGCTGCCCTATTTCTACCCCAAACTCCCCACATAAACATCTCAGTTAGGTTTCAGATAAGATTACAACTGGCAAAAATATTTCATGCTTTAAAAAGTCTTCAAATGATTACCTTAGAATCAAAACAACAAATCTGGTTGTTGAGAGGCATTTGTGGGAAGTGAAGCTTTCAGATATTGTGTTTTTGTGACAGTTCTAATGCTAATTGTAGACCAAATTTTAAAATTGTTTGCAGCTGAAATATTTTTTTTAACTTTTTGTGGACAAATTTGTGGAAAAGGTTCTAATGTTATTTCTAGGCATTTGTTTTCTTCTTGGCATATGGTTAATTTAATAATATTAAGATCTCTTTATAATAAAATAACAGTAGCAAAATTATATATGTATATTTAATATCAGATACTAGTTGTTTTCCAGTTAGAATCTTCTAGTAATTTTGTGTGTGTTCTTTTTTCTTATGCAGTTGAGGAAGATTGGGGGTGGGGGCTTTGGAGAAATTTACGATGCCTTGGACATGCTTACCAGGGAAAACGTTGCACTGAAGGTAGAATCAGCCCAACAACCAAAACAAGTTCTGAAAATGGAGGTTGCTGTATTGAAAAAACTACAAGGTAAGTTGTTTTACATGATATATGAAACAATTTATAATTTATTACTTTCTTTCTGAACCTCGATTACATTTTCTAACTATTAATTAAATACTCTAGTGTAATTTTGTTATAAACATGCTGAGCATATTTCTCTTGAAAATTTTATCACTAGCTGGTAATAGTGGAAAGAATGATTGCTTAGAGTAATTGGACTTTGGCAATTTGTTTTCATGGTGAGTAGGATGAGAGGGAGTGAATCACCTGAAACATTTGTGTTAGAAAGTGTTTTCATAAATGTTCCTGTAAAACTAGAGGCCTGGTACATGGGTAGGTCCCTGGACCTGGCTGGTGATCAGGGCTGATTGATGCCTTCCGGCTGCTGGTCAATATAACGGTATGTAAGAAATGTTTTAATAAAAATTTCGTAACTTAATTTTTATAATATCTTGTTATATATAACTAGAGGCCCGTTGCATGATATTTGTGCAATAATAAGCCTTCCTTCCCTGGCTTCGCTCCCGGCCACCCAGCAGCTGCCAAGTCCCCACTCCCTGGCTACCTGGAAGCCGCCAAGTCCTCACTCCTGGCTGGAGCACCATTCCTGAACCCCCCATCTCCCTCCCCCTCATAACAGGTGTCAGCGGGGCTGGTGGCTCCAGCCCTACATAATCAAATCAACCTTACATCTTTGTTGGGTTAATTTGCATACTCACTCCTGATTGGCTGTGGGTGTAGCAGAGGTACAGTCAATATACATGTTTGTCTGTTATTAGGTAAGATTATTAATATTGAGCTACAACATTCGCTAATGACTGATTACATAATTGTGTTGCATTCATTTCCCTTTCATGCCTTACGTGCAGGCGCACCATTTCTCTTCACTAATACTAGCAGTGAATATTTTAGCAGTTGATGGTCATGTCACTAGTATTGGACTGACTTGTTTGGTGTGTGCAACAGGAAATATTTTGCTTTTGGAGAACAAGAAAAATAGGTTTATTTGCATCACACTTATTAATTTGTGCAGTTATTCAGTGTCTGGTAAGTTAATGTTCAGTCTACACTCCTAAGTTGTACTTGGTTTTTACAGATGTATTTGAATAATTTAGTCACTTCCAAAACTAAACCACCTGCCTGTAGGCCTATTTGATAGTACTTCTACACTCATTATCTAAAGTATTCCTGATAAATAGAACCATAAAACTTATTAAGAAGAAAAAATATTCTCTGGCGTAAGAGGAAAAAAATATTCTGTTCTATGAGTTTAACTCTGATCACTAGTAATTCTGTAGTACCACATGCACCTACCGTCAGAAGGTACTTTTTAAAAAGTTAGATTTCCATTATAATCTTAACAAAATTTGATACATGTCTAGAATCTTGCAGGTGAGATAGATAAATCTTAAATTTGATTTTTCCCTAACTTTTTATAATGAAAAATTCAAATATATGAAAAATAGAGAATCATATAATGAACATTCACATAGTACTCAGTTTCAATAAGTATTAATATTTGCTCAGCCTTGTTGCTTCTAAATCTCACTTCTTTAACATTTACCCTACCATGCTGGAGTATTTAAAAAATCCTAGACATATATTATCTATAAATACTTCAGTATGTCTCTCTAATAGATCAGGGCTTCTTTAAAGACAAAGAAGGAGGAGGAGGAACAGGAGGAGAGGAGGGAATGGGGAGGAGGAGGAGGAAATATTCTTTAATTTATAGAATTTATTTATTTATTTATTTATGAAGTATCAGACAACTAGGGAATTTGTGGAGTTTTTTGGGGGAGTGTTTGGAGATATATCAATATTTGACAGATACTACTTTGCCTATGAGAGCTTTGTTGATTTTGTGAATTAATTAAAGTGTATCTATTGGTACCTAAAATGTCTTAGCCACTTACCTTCACACACATAAAAAAAAAATGGTATGAGAACATATTAAAGGTAGTGTATGTTAAACTTTAGAAAAATTTGGGGGATCTGTGTTATTGGAAAAATGAAGTAATAAGGCTGTGGAAATGCTTTAAGTGACCAGTTTTAAGAATGGATTAGAGGACCTCATTGGAGAGGAAACCTATGTTCTAGTTTTTCTTTAATTTTATTTTTTAGAACAATTTTAGGTTTATAGAAAAATTGAATAGTAAGTACAGCTTCCCAAATTCCCTCCTATCCTCAGCTTCCCCTATTATTAACATCTTGCATTAGTGTGGTACATTTTACAATTGGTAAACCAGTATTGATACATTGTCATTAACTAAGTACATAATTTACATGAAGGGATTCCTTTTTTTTTTTTTTTTAATATATTTTATTGATTTTTTACAGAGAGGAAAGGAGAGGGAGAGGGAAAGAGAGCCAGAAACATTGATGAGAGAGAAACATCGAACAGCTGCCTCCTGCACACTCCCTACCGGGAATGTGCCCACAACCAAGGTACATGTCCCCTGATCAAAATTGAACCTGGGACCCTTTAGTCCACAGGCCAACACACTGTCCACCGAGCCAAACCAGTTAGGTCAAGGGATTCCTTTTTTAATAACATAAACATAATAGTCTTAAACACCTAACAAAATTATTTTACCCTACTTGGTTTGGCTCAGTGGACAGAGCATCAGCCCTCACTGAAGGTCACAGGTTTGATTCCCAATCAGGGCACCATACCTAGATGGTGGGTTCCATCTCTAGTTGGGGCATGTAAGGGAGGCAACCAATTGATGTTTCTCTCTCGAATTCATGTTTCTCTTTCTCTTTCTCTCTCCCTTCTTCTCTTTCTAAAATCAATAAACATATCCTCGAGTGAGAATTTTTTAAAAAGTTTTTAAAAATCAATACTTAAGTTATTGAATGACTAGAAAATTGTCCTGCCTTTCTGTGCTATTTTTAGCCCTCTTATGTCATGTTGTGAATGATCAGCATATCGTATCTCTTGTGTTCTTTCAAACACCAACTTGAATATTACTTTGGATCAGAAGGTAATTAATTAAAGGTTTATTTATTTGTTTTTAAAAATTATCCTCTAAATCCTCTAAAAGCAAGGGAGGATCCTATTAATATCAAGAAATAATGAAGTAAATGCCTTTCTTTAATAACCAAATAGTTTTATTATTCTCAGTAGAAGTAGTTGGGAATTAATTTGTTTTGCCTCATATCAGTGCAGAAAAGAAAACAAAACATGACCCATAAAGAAATGATTTTATTTGGACTATCAGGGACTTTTCTTTACCCTGAGATATTGGTTCTGGGTTTTACTTTTGCCTTGGAGACTCACACAGCTCTGAGAGTTGGGAAGAAGAGGTACTTTTACAGAAGAGCAACTGTACCTCTTCTGCCTTCCTTGCTTGAAGTCTTCAGGTACTGCTGTGAAGTACGACTATTCCCTTTCCCTAGTCATAAGAATGTAAGAAATGTGTAATTTCTTTCTAGTATAAAAGACTGCCTGTGAAAGTTATTCAAAAGTTGCTTGCCCTCGTGAAGATTCATCTCTTCCATCAAAAAGTGTTATAAGATCTCTGATAACTCCTTTTATGCAAGAGCATAGTAGTCAAATGATAGTTCCTAAAAGGTTACGAATAAACTCATTGTATCCTTTAATCTATCATCTGCCCTTTTGTTTGTTTCATCCTGGGCATTTTCCCCCTTAAAGTAATTTTGCTTGCCCTGGATAAGGTTTCATTAAAGAGTGTTAGGAGAGCCCTAGCCAGTTTGGCTCAGTGGATAGAGCGTCAGCCTGGGGACTGAAGGGTCCCAGATTAGATTCTGGCAAAGGGCACATACCTGGGTTGTGGGCTTGATCCCCAGTAGGAGGCGTGCAGGAGGCAGCTGATCAATGATTCTCTCTCATCATTGAAGTTTCTATCTCTTTCTCTCTAAAATCAATTATATATATATATATATATATATATATATATATATATATATATATATATATTTATTTATTTATTTATTTATTTTTTTAAGAGTGTTAGGAGATCTCTGAGAACCTTATTTGTTCAGTATGTTCACTTTAACACTTACCTAATTGGGAGATTTAACATATCTGCTAGCTTGGGGATTTGTCTATTCACTACTCCACTTGAGCCTAGAAAAATGACACATAGGAATAAGAATAGGTCTAGATTATTTTAAAAATATATATTTTATTGATTTTTTACAGAGAGGAAGGGAGAGGGATAGAGAGTTAGAAACATCGATGAGAGAGAAACATCTATCAGCTGCTTCCTGCACACCTCCTACTGGGGATGTGCCCTCAACCAAGGTACATGCCCTTGACCAGAATTGAACACGGGACCCTTCAGTTCGCAGGCGAACACTCTATCCACTGAGCCAAACTGGTCAGGGCTAGGTCTAGATTATTTTAAGGAGCAGAAATTCATTTCCTTAAAATAGAATATAATGTATATATGTGTGTCTTTATATGTACATATACATACATTTATATGCTTTTATATGCACAAAGAAAGCCTGAAATCATATAGAATTCAAGAAGCCATTGGGAATGGTTATGTTTAGGTATTGGAATTAGAGGTATCTGTAAGGAAAGGATCTTTTACTTTTTTCCTTTATAAACTCTCTCTGGTGCTTAAAAAATGGAAAAGAATAGCCAAAACTGGTTTGGCTCAGTGGATAGAGCATCGGTCTGCGGACTGAGGGGTCCTAGGTTTCATTCTGGTCAAGGGCATGTACATTAGTTTCGGGCACATCCCCAGTGGGGGGTGTGCAGGAGGCAGCTCGTCAATGTTTCTCTCTCATTGATGTTTCTAGCTCTTTATCCCTCTCCCTTCCTCTCTGTAAAAAAATCAATAAAATATATTTTAAAAAATGGAAAAGAATAATGTCAACTTTTTTATAGTAAAAATGTAATCTAAAATTATAAACATTTCAAAATCCATTCTTACCCTTTATCTTCTCTTTAAATTTCTGAATGCTTAAAAATACATAGTAAATTACTGCAATGTAATTGAATTAAAAAGCTGTTTTGGGTTGTGAACTTTATAATATCTTATTTGTGGGGCTAT